TCCCTCCTTCGCAGAGCTGGCAACCTCAGCCAGGAGGCCAGGCGGTTCTGGGACAGGACAGCCGAGGGTGAGCCTCACAAACATCTGGTCCCAGCTCCCCGCCTAATGTGTGTAACAGACCCACTACCTAATTGCATGGTTGGGGAGCAGCCTTCACATCCTTAGCACTTAATTCACTATTGTTTCTTTGGAAGCCCCAATCCTGTGCCTGGGGAGGGAGGGCTCTGCCTGTTTATGGGGCTTTCAAGCCCCGGGCATCCCAGCCCCGTCTTGTTAGGCTCCAGCTGCACAGGCATCAAGGAGGGCATCTCCACCCCCCCCCCAACTTCCTGCACTACAGCTTGGGGCTTTACTGCCTCCCCCTGCCCAGGCTCACCTGGTTTGGCAGGAACAGCCCCAGACACAGCCTCTCCTGGTCCTCATGTGCTCCCCACCCACCCGGGAGGGGCATTTTATTTCTCTTGTCCCAGGTTTTGGGGCTTTATTGCCCTCTCCACTCCCAACAAAGGGATGAAGAGAAACAGTGGGGAAGGGGAAAGTGGGACCAGGGAAGCCTGGGTTCGAATCTCATCTCTGTCACTTTCTACCATGGGACCTGGGGCCAATTGCGTTCTTCTATGTGCCTCAGTTTCCCCATCTACAAAACGGGCCTCCTAACACTTATCTTGCCAAGTTCTTGTACCAGTCAAATGAGATCATGGTAATAGCTAGGGTACCAAGAGCTCACTCTGCACCAAGGAGCTATCCCGAACAGGATGTGTGTGTATACAGCTATGATCAATGATCATAAGGGTCTGTCTAGAGTAGGTGCCCGATAAACATCACTTCCCTGTCCTATGCCAGTGGTCAGGGAATGGGTGGCCATGGAGGAAGGAGACTGAATCCAAACAATGCCCAAAGGTGGGGCAGGTAGGTAGAGCGAGCACCCTCATCATCAAACCCATTTCTTTCCCTTTGGGGGGCCAGTCCCATTAGTCTGACCCCTTAAAATGCTAGGGTAAGGCTCCATCTTTACTCACTTCTGGCACTTGGTCACATGGTACCACTATGGGGATAAAGAGCAGAGGGGTAGGGTCTGGGACCAAGAAACCTCAGCCCTCTCCTCCCTGCCCTCTGCTTCCTTGGGTCAAGAAGCAAATTTGGGAAGGATGCTAAGAGGGACCTGGCTGGCCACCATCCTGGCCCCTGAACTCCCTAGAAGAGCCCTGACTCATCTCCCTTTGCCATACTCCAGTGTGTTTATTAATCACTATCATCACTATTCACTGGTCATCTAATGGGCTCTGTCGTTAACTCGCTGGGTGCCCCGGAGCAGGTCGCTCTCTGTCTGGGTTGTGATTGCTTCCTCTCTAAAGTGATGAGGTTGAAGGGAAATGGAGAGAAGACAGGGTAAAACACCTGCCTGGGTGCCTTCCAGCTCTTCCTGGACAGGAATTATCCCCAATGATTTGCTCGGCTATCTCTTTTGAACATTACATCAGTGACCTGCAAGGTGAAAACAATTGGATTGATGAGGGATACTGCTCAAGGTCACATAGCTGCCAAAGCAGCCAAGCTGAAAATAAACTCAGGTGCCTTAGGTCCCAGATCCCTGTACCCTCTGTGACACTGACATCCTGGAAAGGGTCCAGGAGGGTAGGAGAGGAGCTGTCATCAGGGACGTGGGAATGTGTTCTCTATCTGTCTCCTTCTTCCGGTGGGCTGAGGGATGACGGACACCAAGACAGGATAGGGAGGGCCGGGGGTGGGAGAGACTGAAACCCCGGACAGGTGCCAAGAACTCCAAGCTGTAGGGATCAGCCAGACCTGGGCTCAAATCCCAGTGCTTTTATTGACTAGCTGTGTGACCTCAGGCGAGTGACTCCACTTCTCTGAGCCTGCTCTATAAAGTAAGGCTAAAGATGCCCACCCCAAAGACTGTTGGGTAGATTCAACAAGATTGTTCTTGGTACATAATAGGTGCTCTAAAAGGTTTCCCTCCTCAGCTGGACTGTGGAAACACTCACTTGGCTCCTCCGTGAAGCGAGCATCCTAAGACATCATCCGTGGGTGGGAAATCTTCCCGCCAGTCCACTGTGCCTATCAGTAACATATTTCCCATTGTTCAGGAACTATCCAGGAAGCCTGCCTAGAGTAAACAGAAGCTGGGCCTGCATCTTCCAAAGACAGGGAGTCTCCAGAGGGGCAAGAAAAGAGAATAAACGCCGGCCTCATTGCTCCGTGAGATGGAGCAAAGGTGCCGCGTGTGGGAGGCGCCCGCGGCCTGTGAAGGGGTGGGCAGAGCCCGCAGCCCAGGGCAGTGGTGAGAGCCCAGCTTACGGCATCGGGCGGTCCCAGGCTGGAAACCGCCATCCTTCTCCACACGGTAGCCAGAGCAGTCCCTTTACAGTGTAAGGTATATCACATGTGCCTCTCCGTCTCACTCCCCAAGCGGTGGTCTGGCCCCCTTCAAAACTCTGCCTCCTCCCCTATTCACGATGCTCCACCCTCCAGGCCCTCCTTTATTCTGTGACAGGCCTCGGGGCCTTAGCACTCTGTTCCCTCTGTCCAGAACGCTCTTCCCCCGTGTCTGCCTGTGCCCCCCACTCCAGAGGCACTCTGTCTAAAATAGCAGCCCCATCCCTCTCTACCCCTTCATCCTATTTTATTTTTCCCTATTTTATGATGTATCACTATCTGACATATACTCTGTCTATTTGGTTTATTGATTTTCCCCAGTGGAATGTAAGCTCCAGGAGGGCAGGGGCTCTGCTCAGTTCACTGCTGTATCTCTAGCCTCTGGAAGAGCATCCGGCACAGAGTAAACTAAACACATATTATTGGATGAATAAATAAATGATTGATTGAATTCTGACTCCACGATTTTCTAGCTTGAATGGCTTTGGGCAGGTCATTTCACATCTCTGAAACCTTCAGTGCAGAAGACAGGGCACACCCTTCTCCTAGGGTTATTGTTGAAATTAAATGACAGAGTGTGAAAGGAACTGACACACAGTAGGTGCTCAGGAAATGACAACCACCGTCACAATTACTATCCCCGGGGCTCTCAGGCTCAGTCGCCCACTCACTGAGGCCCTGGACACATTGATGGTCTCTCTGAGCCTCAGTCAAGGGTACCCATGTCCCACGCCAGGATGTGCAGTGAGGCCCAGGCAGGCCCTGTAAAGTCCCCAGCAGGCCGTCTGAAACACAGGAGGGCCTCACCAAGTGGCAGCTACTGCCACCCTGGGGGGTGTAAGATTTGGACACCGGCCCCAGCTTTCTTATTCTGTGATCTTGGGGAAGCTGCTAAATGTTTCTGAGCCTCAGTCTCCTCCATCTATAAAATGGGAATAATGACAGTATCTTCCTCACAGGTTGTCCTGAGGTCACAATGAGATCGTGCACCTGAAAGAGCTTCACAAAGCCCCGAGCAAATGTGTCGGGACCCACGGGATGGGGCCCAGGGATGGAGAGAGGCCCTCATCATGCAGGGAGGAAGGACAGAACCAAGAGTTGTGCTTGGCCGGAGCTCGGAGGTGGGTTGCAGAGAGAGCACACAGGTCAGAAGCCAAGCCCCGGCTCAGCCAGAGAAGGTTCTCCTGCCCCCCTCGTTCCTTCCTCTCTGTAGGGCCTCCCTGGGGACTTCTCCTGGCCAGTCTTGGCAGGAGGTGATTTCAAGGGAGGCAGCTGACAGCAGCAGGACCCCACAGGAGGCATCCTCCTCTTCAGTCAACCTCCTGCCCAATCTGCTTCCCACCCCAAGACTAAGCCGGCCTCTCCCCTTACATCCCGGCCAGGCCCGGGGGGAAGACCTGGAAGAAAGGGCCCCTGGAAGTTAAAGAGGCGGACAGACTCCTTGCGCTCCCGCCCATGAGAGTCTAAGGAGAGAAACACCAGGTCTCTCCCTGACCTGGGCCCTCTGACACCTCCACCACCAGACACAGAAGGGGACCCAGTGCCGCCTTGCTCAGCCTGTGCCTGGCAAAACCCAGATGCGGGTTCCGCAAATGACTCAAGCAATAATCCCGAGACTATAAGCTCCATGCAGCATGATTTTGGGTTTGTTTCGTTCTTTGATGAATTTCCATTACCTAAAGCAGTGCCCTGGCACTTAGCGAAGTGCTTAATAAATATTTGTTGAACGAGGGGTTCCATCAGTAAATGAATGAACGAGGCAATGAATCGGTGACTAAGTGAAGTCCCCTGGAGGCTGGCATGTTTCTGGTGTGTTTTTTGATAAATACCCGGTGCATGGAAGAACACAGGAGATGGCGAGCAAATGTTTGTGAACGTATATGCCTGAATCAGTCATCCAATCAATGACTCATGGGAATGTAATCTCTCTGAGGGCAAGGATGTCTGGAAGTTAAGATCCCTAGGTCTGAAGCTGCGTTCTCAGTGCCTAGAGCAGTGCGCGGAGCAGGCGCGAGGGTGTCAATCAGTGAACGAATGAATGAGCGAGGCCCCAGCTCTCCGAGCCAAGAGCGCAGACCACCAAGAACGAAACACAAAGGGGCCCGCCCTGCCTGAGCCCCGCCCCCCCACCACCACTCACCTCATGGTTTTTTTAAATAATTTGTCGATTGTTTTTAATTGTTGAGGCAGTAATACTTGGTTCATGAAACTGCAATATACAGAGAGGTGAAATAAATAGCTTATATATATATAATATATATAATATAGCTGGTTTTAAAATATTCCCTTATCATTGGTGTACTAGGTCACGTGAGTCACGGAAGGTCGATAGCAGCATCCTCCAGAACTGCGAGCAATGCAGGGTCACTTGATTGGACGAGGCCGTCTGTCGTCGGAAGTCGAGGCGCCGAGAATTCCGAGGGGCACGCCTTCCCTGCGCGGTGTCTCGGGACAGCTTGCAGCGGACAATAAATAAATGACTGCAAACCAGAGAGCGATTTTTGTTGGAGTCTGGGGCAGGGAAAGGGGGTTGGGAAGAAAGGGGGAGTCTGGGGATAGGTACTACTTTCTCTTTGTTTTTCTTTTTTTTTCTTTTTCTTTTCTTTTTTTTTTTTTTTTTTCTTTCTTTCAGAACCTTTGGGAAAAAGGACTTTGGTTTCTCAGAGTGTCGTTTTCCTCCTTCAAATCCTCCTCTGGGGACGAGATTAGAGTTGTCTGTTCCTAGAGAGAGACAAGCACCTGTACGCTGACAACAGTCCCTTTTTGTGAGTCTTTTGTCAGAGACAGGGGGTTTCAAGTCAACAATAAAATCCTTATCGCTTCCCCCCCCCCCGAAGAGTTTTGGTTCAGTTTTTGTCTTCTTTTAAACACAATGTACAAAAATAGAGCTTCTTCCTAATTTTTCATGTAAAAATATTCCTCTGATGCAGTTCTCTGTGAGTGTGAGTGTGGGCCTGGGGGCAGCCTGGGGGGCTGCGGTGGGGCCAGCCTAGCCGGGGTGCGTGGGGCGGATCCGCCGGGACCTCTTGGTCACCGTGGTGTACTTGAAGGGTTTCTGCAGCTCTGCCTGTCCCTTGGGGTAGCGCTTCATGAAGTGCACGTCCTGCTGGTTCTCCCGGGTCTTGGGACCCTTCCGCGGCCGCCCCTTCTTGGTGAAGCCCACGTACCAGCCAGAGTACTTGGCGGACATCAGGGCTGTGTAGTTGTTCTCCAGGACCTTCTCAATGAACACACACTCCTTGCTGGTGCCATCGGGCTGTAGGAGGCGAGAAAAGGAGGAGATGAGAAGGGGAGGGTGGGTGTGAGGGGCAGAGCTACGTGGACAGGGTGTGCGCAGGTGGCGGAGGCTTGGGGCAGTAGAGTAGAGGGCCCGACCCAAGTTTTGTCCCCAGTAATTTCACTTCCTGGATCTGTGCAGTGGACTTGTCATATTGGCCCCTGCCTCCTTCCCTACCCGCCAATTAGGTAATTAATTCCCACCGTCATTCAGGAATCTATCCCTTCCCCACTCAGGATGCTATAGCCAGGGGCTTCCGCTTCAACTCTACTAGAACACGAGACCCAGACCTGGCCAATGAAACATTATTTCCTGTGACTGCTGCAGAGCTTGGCACGTGGCCTGAGCCATCCAATCAGAGTGCTCCTCAAGACCCTTGTCCAATCCCCCAAAACATAGGCTGATTTAAAACTTGAGGAACATGTAAGGCTGAAGCAAAGGCAGCCATTTTACCACAATGAGGAGAAACGCTGTCTGACCATAAGGCCAACACAGAGGAAGTAAAGCCAAGAGGAAGGGAATGAGAGAAACCAAGTTCTGGTCACAGCCTTTGGGCTCGGGACCAAACAGAATCTGAAGCTCATTACCTCATTTCCTTTAAAGTAGTTGAGATTATTTTCTATCACCTGCAACAGAAAGGAGTCCCTGCAGGCGTGCACAAAACCTGATATGAAGTCAGCTACGCCATTGCCACTCCACTGCAATACAGTTACATTTAAATCACATTTAATGTGGGATATGGTGCATTTTAAATGTTTGGTGTGAAGAGGGGTGGGGACCTCCAAGAATAAAGAGTTTTTGCATGGCCAAACTCCAAAGCCTATGCCTTTGGTTCTGAGACTTCAGGCTCCCCAGCAGATGTGTGAACTCCCTAGGAGACAAGGGATGCCGGGCAAGGAGTCCTAGATTTGGAGTCAGAAGCTGAATCAACTCTAACACTTCCTTATGTGACCTCAGGCTAGTTAATTCCACTCTCTAGACGTCGGATTCCTCGTCTGACCAAACCGGGACAGTGACCCCTGCGTCACAGATATGTGGTAAGGAATGATACTTCTACTTGAGTCCCATACACAATAGGAAATTGCTAAATTATTTCCGAAGAGCAGGTGGTTCAGATGGCTCTGGCCTCCCTCCCTGGATCAGAGCTGGACAAAGGATGGTGGGAGGCAGGGCTCTGAATCTCCTCCCTGAGACAGCCAAATTGCTCCATGTAGAAGAGTGAGAAGCACACAAAGCTGGAAGGCCTGAATTAGCAGCACTCGAGTTTCCAACTAACATCTCCAAATTTAGGCTGGGCCCACTCCTCGTTACGGACGGATGCCCGGCCAAGTTGGAAGCCCAGCGGTCTGGCTGTGCGTGGTGCCTGAGGTGCGAGCTCCAGCCTTTTGTTTGAAGTGGAAAACAGGCTGGAGCTTCCAAGAACGTTCACCTTTGAGTGGAGGGCAAGCTTGGGCCCTGCAGACAAAGTGCTGAACTTCGCAGAAAGGGACAGACAGGGTAAGAAAACATTCTCTGGAGGCCGAGATCTTTCGAGGAGGCTACAGAGCAGGCACCGGGTGGGACTGGGAGGCATGTGGGACCCAGAGGGCAGTGTCTGGCAGGGGCTGAGCCGTGAGGGACTCTTGTGAGGGAAGTGGGACATATGTACAAGGCAGGTAGAGGGCAGTGGTCTCTGGGCCCCCCATGGATTATTCTGGAAGCTGCCTATCCAGTCTAAGTCCAGGTCCCTTGGTCACTCTCGATGGAACAGTCACAGCAAACTGAACAAAGCCTACACCATACACCATGCTGCTCCCCACCATAGACTACCTGCCACTACCTGGAAAACTGCTTTCATCCTTCAAGGTCAAGCTCAGTAACCACCTCCTCCAGGAAGCTTTCCTTCACTGCCATCCAGCTCCCTCTTCTTCATTTAAGACTCCATTCAAGCATCAGGTTTTATTGGACTCACATACTCCATCCTCTCCCCCTTGGCACCCATTCCCCCTCCCACCCCGCAACAGAGCAATCCTATACCTCCCTGCCTCCTCATTAGCCCAAGAGCTTCAGGAGGTCAGGACCACCTGTCAGTTGCCCTAATGGCTCAGCACAGGTCTCGGGCACCCAGAGCATTTGTGGTTGAATAAAGGAGAGTTCTGGGATGGAAATGCTGGCAGGGACCCCCTCAAAAGGCTTTCTTCTAAAAGAAAGTGGATGTTGCCCTCTGGATCCCTCACCAGTGTCCCAGAGACTGTCGTGAGCTAGGGGAGGCCCTCCTGGGGGTGTGCTGAGGAAGGGACACAGCACGTAGAGGACCAGAGCTCCCGGCCTGGCCCACTTAGGCTCCCTACTCCTTCATTCACTCGCTCATTCAGCATTTCCTGCTTGTCAGTTATAGGTCCGACATCTCCACGTGCATTATTACATTTAATCCTCTGAACTTGCTCAGGTAGACTCTCCCTGCTAGAAGAAAACAGAGTTCAAAGAGGGCAAAACGGCTTGCCCGAGGTCACGGGACTTGTAAGACGCAGAGCCAGATTTTTACCTGCATTTGCCATTGCAGCTCCTTTCTCCTCTGTCCAGTTCCAGAGAGGTCCATGAGGAGAAAGAGTGTGGAAGAGAGGGCAGGGCACTGTCTGTCAAAACTACCTCCCCTCCCCAGGCCCACACGGCCGCCATCAGCGTGAAGCAAGGTCTCAGACATGCAAGGAGCAAGCAGAGTGCCTGGCACTGTGTTTGTATGTGTCCAGGTGTACTTACGAGGGCTAAAATTCCCAGCACCCCAGAGCTCGGGAGCCCCTTGGGAGGATCCATGGTACCCGTGATGGTCACAGGACACCCCCCCCCCACCTCGCCCATGAGCTCAGACACAGCAGATCTGAAGCTACTGGCAGACCACACCTGGCCTTGACCCTCACCTCTGTTCCTGACTACCTCTATGACCCTGCTTATTGCCTGCAGTGATTAAAAAAAAACACCTGTGCTTGGGCCTCACCCCCAAAAATGTTGACGCAATGGGTTCGGGCAAGGCAGATCATCAGTATTAAAGAGTGAGTGAATATCCCATCGCAGAACTTCGGTGATTAAGTAGAATTTGAGCATCTCTCCCCCACCTCCAACCCCACCTCCAACCTCCAACCTCCTCCTTTCCACACTGGAGTCCTATTCCCTCTATCTGATCTGAAGACTGAATCCTGATGACATCATCTGGCCCCTAGATCCCGTCTTACTTGAAACTAGAACTACCCCCTGGACATTTGTAGTTATGTGAGCCAAAAAATTCCTTTTTTTGCTTAAGGCATTTTGAGTTGGGCTTCAGTCATTTACAACCAAAGCAGTCTTCCCAAAGGTGTGGTGGTGGGCAGGAGACTCCTCTGCCCTGAAAGGTCTGGGGTGGCCCTGTGCTGCCCCAAGGAGGGCTCACCAGTGATCACTCAGGTGGGGGCAGATCAGAAAATCATCGATCTGGGTTGAATCCTCAGAGATTGGGAGGGGTGGATGCCTAGCACATAGTGCTCCATACTCAACAAGTGTTTATGGAATGAAAGGATGTATTTCCTCCTGGGCCAGAGAGATGTGGGGTCCAGAAAGATGGCAAAGGGAAGGGGGCTACCTGAGCATGCAGGGACGCGGGGCAGAGCGTTGGTATATGATTGTCATAGTACAGGAGAGCTACAGACAGGGGCCCAGAACATCTGAAAAGGCTCTGTTGGGGGTTCGATGCATGGAGGGCCAAAGAGGTGCAAGGCTGGGCACCCAGGTCAAGAGCACCCAAGAAAGCTAACCTGTTAGGCCCCTGCAAAGGAGTCAGAGCCTGAGCTGACCGTGTCAAGGGTTTCCACAGGTGAAGGAGTAACTTTGTGGCCTGGCTTCAAAGAGGAAGTGACTGCATATTTATCAAGTGCCCACCAGATGCCAGCATTATCATCGCCATTGTACAGATGAGGACACCGAGGCTCAGCAGTTAGGGCACTTGACGCCCTGGCCTGACATGAATAATTTTGGCTGTGGGTTAAGACAATCCTCAGAAATCAAGACCATTTTTCTACTTCTTTGGTGCTTCTGCAGCTCTGTGGCCCGGTACACAGAGCATGGATGGATGGATCCACAATCAAACCTCTGTGAGCCCTCAGTCAAGTTGCGAGATGTAGGCACACGGACAAACAGTGACAACTCGGGTTAGCGACGGGCAACAGAGGACCGTGTGAGGGACTGTGGGCTCCAGGGCGGGTGTGCTGTATGAGGGGTGCGGGAGGCCAGAAGCTGTTGAAGGCTGCGCAGGACTTAGGGCAGATGGGCAGAGGGAGGGGCGATCAGCATGTACAAAGCCCTAACGCCCCACCCAGGGATCGGCAGTTGGCAGTGCCACGTGTCGAGGGCTTAAGGAACCCAAGGATGGGTGGCAGGGCTGTGAGGCCAGGGACGCTCCCCAGGGCCTTGTGGGTCTCCTCAGGGAGTGTGGCCTTTCTCTGGTAGTTGGTAGATGGTGTGGACCCACGGATGGGTTCTGAGATGGGTTGGGGGTGGAAGACAGGGGATGCGCTTTAGGAAGCTGATGGTGGGTAGTGGGCAAAGGCAAAAGCCTGAGGCTGGGACTCCTGAGGCAGCTGGGGCAACAGTTCCAGTGAAAGGACAAAGCCACAACAGAGGCAGTGGCAGCAATGAAGAACAATGCAAGGGTAACCCCAGGACCCTGGGGCCTGACTGCCTAGGAGGTAGCACCCCAAGAGCCTGTGGCTTCTAGCTACCAGGGCCAGAGACAGTGAGGGGAGCTGGGCTAGGCGGAGGGCAACAGGGGGCCTGCCCAGGGCCATCCTGGGGCAGGTGGATTTGGGGGCCAGCCCAGAAGACGGGCGCGCCTGTACGGGGATGGGGGGCGCTGCCGCGAGGCGGTGCAGGAAGGAGGGGGCCCTCCCCGGGTTGCGCCGAGCCTGGCCGAGCCAGCGCCAGCTGAACCGTCCCCAATATTAATGACGGGAGAGAGGGCGAGGGGGCAGGAAATCGGAGCCGGCTCCTGTGGAAGCGGTGACTCAGCGGCCAGCCGGCGGGCGGGCGGGCGGTGGGCGGCCGGCGGCGGGGAGCGGGGCTGCTCTTTTGACCCCAGCGCGGCCCCCCTGGGGTCAAGCTGCCGGGAAGCGCGCAGACCGGAGGGAGGGGCTCGCGGGCACCGGGCACTGCGGGCTGCCGCGCGCCCGCCCTGCAAGCCGCGAGGCAAGGAAGCCGAGCGTCCAGCCGCAGGCAGGTTGGGCCTGGGAGGCGGCCCGGGCGGGCAGGAGAACAAAGCGCCTGACGCGGGGCCGGGCCGCGCCGCCACAGGAAACGCACGGCCAGGCCAGGGGACCCGGCGCCCGGCCCGCCCGCCGCCCCTGCCCCGATCCCCTCGCCGGCCGGCCGCCCCGGGACGCGGAAAGTGAATCACTAATTAAAACCACTCCTCGGCATCCCGGAGCCACGCTCTGCGGATTACTATTCCTGTGCTCCCCGAGAAGCTTCAGTTGGTGAGGGCAGTGCGGCAGGAACCTCTGCCTTCCAGACCGGGCTTGGGATCCCGCGGCGCTCTAGTGTGGGACCTGGGACAAGTGCCTCGGACGGCGCCAAGCCTCAGCTTTCTCCTCTGCGAAATGGGGATGGTAGTGGTAGCGACCTCATGGGATTATTTGGGAGCATTTTTGCACAGTGCCTGGCAGAAAGTAGGTGCTCAATTAGCAGAAGCTACTGGTAGTGTTATTGTTAACAAATAAGAAGCAACGGTACCCTGACTCAAGTCCCTGGCCTGTTGCACTCTCCCCAGCCACTAGGGCGTGGAGGAGGGGAAGAAGGAGAAGATTTGGGGGATTCAGGAAAACAAAACCATGGCTTAAAACAGGAATCGGGGCCCTGCTTCCTCCTCCCAAGACCATGTAATAAATGCAAATCACCAGCCAGGGCCTTGCACATGAGCAGGAAGAGCCATCCTCCTTAGAATCAGGATCTACCCTGCACCCCGCACTCCACCTGCCCAACAGAACCATTTTACAAGTTAGATATGGGGGTGAGTAGGGGCCCGGCAAAGGGAAGAGAACACAGGGCATGAGCACCAGGTAGCTACTTGCCAGTAACACCTTCCCCTGGAGCACCCAAAGGAAGCAAGTGTATGAACTTCACAAACAGGCACACCCAGGAAAAAAGGGGGACACCAAGAAGCACCCGTGGAAACTCAGAGCCCCAGGCATGTGGGTCCACCCCCCATACCCACACGCCACCCTAATTTGTTACATGCAGCTCTGTTGCCTATTCCAAAGTAACAGAATCTTCCTGAAATGCTAGAACCATGAGGCCCAGCACTGAGGAGGCAGCGTGGTCCAGGCTTCTCTGCAAAGCCCTGGCGATTGTTCAACCAATGCTGCGGCCCCAGCCCTCGGCCTGCCACTTCCCTGTTCTCAGTCAGCAGACACACGCAGGCAGGGAGCCCCTGAGTCCCTGGGGGTCCACATCCAGCAGGAGAGATCAGACCTCCCCAAGGTCATGGCCATGGATACCTCAGCCTGGCAGGCTGTGATGTGGGGGCAGAGAAGGGGCTAAAGGAAGAGATTACAGTCAGAATCTCTCTCTCTCTCTCTCTCTCTCTCTCACACACACACACACACACACACACACACACTCACCGGGCTTGTTTTCCATTTGGGGCTGACAAGGCCCTGAACACCCTGTTCCAGCTACCCAGTGTTACCAGGGGGAACCCTCCCGAATACCCTGGGAATTCCAGACCATCACTCACCTTCCCCACGAGCTTGCCTTTCCGGTTCATACACAGGTAGAATTCCGTCTCCTTGCCCTTGATCCGGACTTGACTACCGAAGGTGTCTGTCTCCACTAGGAGCTGGGCTTCGAAAGGCAGAAGGAGAACAAGACACATTTTTTTTACCAGGGGCAATGGTTTGGCTGAAAGGCTCAGCGACATGATCCCTGACCCTGTCCCTGGACCCCCTCACTGCTCCAACATTGGGCATGGGGGAGGCTTTGAACAGGTCTCATTGGGGCACCCTGCCCCTTAGGTAGCCGGAGAAGCCTTCCGTCCTGTGTTCTCCACCCCCAGCCTCTCTTTGACTCCACTTGGGACCTACATGGCACCAGCTGGAGGGTTGTTCTGCCCCTTGTGGCTAAAGATCAGTGTGTTCTCCTCTCACCCACCCCACCAGCCCCTCATCTCTGTTCCCGGAACAGGACACACAGCCACCAATAACCCCAGAGAAGTAGCAGTCTCTAGAATGAGGGCACAGAAAAACGCATGCGAGTTTGCACGGGCATGCTCACACCCTGCCTTGGGGGATATCAAGCCACTGCCTCCAAAATTTAGGTCAAAGGCCCCTCCCTCCAGGGCAAACATGTAGAACCCCTTCTATGTCCCCTCCCCACGCCACACCTTTGTAACTTAAAGTGGGGAAGGCCCAGAGAGGGGAGGTTTAAGGCCCCGGGAATGGAGGCTATCTTCAGAATATTCTACTTTGCTCATTCAAGGCCACCGAGGCGGAAACTTCTGAGCCCAGAAGTCCCAGTCAGGACCCTACTGGTTCGAAGTAGGAGACCCCACACTAAACGACCCACTCTCCATAGAACCTCCCTTAGGAGAGGGTGGTGTCCAGAGCTGATCCCCCAAAGCCCTGACTGAGCAAGGGTGTCAAATTGTCAAAGGGTGACTGTCCCTTGATTCGGCATGCTGTGCCTAATCCCCGTCCCTCTGCCAATCCACTTTTTCTCCCCAGTACGGTGCTGTGTGACTTCAGTAGGCCACACACACTCTCTGAGCTCTCTCTCCTCTCTGGCCTTGAGTTCCTATGCCTGGTTCCCTCCCCAACACCCCCTCCCACCGCTTGCCTATGACTCCCCCATTCTCACCCTCCCATCTCTGACCCTTTGCTTCCCAGCACCTGCCCCTCCCTCACCCACAAACTTTTAATTTCAGTGACAAGGGACTTACTTGCTTCTCCATAACAAAAATCATAGCCCTAAATAGGGCATCCTTGGAGCCACAAAGCGTGTACCTCGGTGCCCCTAAAATACACTAGGTATGATTTTAATAAAAAAAAAATTAAAAATATATACCCTGGTGCCCTGCTGTGAAAATTAAAACCATCTGGAACTCAGGATTTCCAATAATTAATCTAGCCTTCCTTTGACACCACTACTAATTAAAATATGATACCCCACCTTTCCAAGGAAAATAAGAAGAATTTACATAAAATTTAAAGATCTAACAAGAATTTAGTAATTCTAGAAACAGGGAGGGAGGGGGAGGCACATTCTTCTCTCCACCTTCCCCCATCCCTAGTAAACACAGTCAAGAAAATTAAGCAACAGTGAGATAGGGGGTTACAAGCCCCGCATCCTCCCTGCTCCCCTTTAATTCAAACTCCCTGTAACTCTCCCTGGGAACCCAGGGCCAAACATCAGAGCAGCCTGGGGCTTGCTTTCTGTGTCTCCTCGAAATGCTCAGGCACCACACAGGACGGAGGTCAGGGGGTTCGGTAGTGTCCCCCATCCCAGGGGGGTGAAGAAGACAGCACATGTAAGGGAAAGGTGAGAGTTTTGGAACGCGCAGATCTGGGAATGAAATCTCGGCTCCACTTGCCAACCATGTGTTCTTGGGCCTCAGTTTCCTCACCTGTAAAATGGGTATAATCATCCTTAATCTTCAAAAGGTATTGTGAGGATTCCACAAAAGGAAGGCAGAAAGGACCTAGCACCTGTTCTCAGAGGCCAGGTGAGGGAAGTAACTATTGTATTAAGTTTTGTAGTAACTGCAAAACTAAATCCTTTTCCCCTACACACACACACACACACACACACACACACACACACACACAGCATAGTGGGAAAAAAATCAGATGTGTGTAAAAGGGCAGAGGTAGAGCCAAACTTGTCTTCCCAGGCATGCCTTCTGACCTGAACTTCTTCAGCATCCTCCAGGGTCACAGGCATCCCACCCTGCGAAGTGCATCAGAACATGCTTTGGGCTGGGACTTATGGGGTCTGATTCCATTTCATGCTGGGCTGTGTGACCTTGAGCCAGGCACGCCACCTCCCCCCAGCCTCAATCTCCTGATCTGTGCAAGGGGGAAGGGGAGGCTCACCCCTATTCTGATTCGCTCTGGGATTGGGACAGAGCCTAGGAGAGGGGTAAGGATGGGAGACTATAGAAAGGGGCTCAGACCCCAGGACTATGGCCCAAGAAACCCCAAGTGAGTCTGAGGGGAAGCCTGTCCCTCTCCCAGCATATGCCTGGACCTCTGTCCCCAGAACAGTTCCTACCATTCTGGCTCCAACGTGAGCCCACTGAAATTTATACTTCACCTTGAGCTTGGGTGATTTTGTCCCCATTTTATAGTTTAGGAAACTGAGGTTCAGAGAAGCAACCCAGCAGGAGGGGCTGCCATCAGGTCTGCCTAATTTTCTGCTGGGGCCTGGGCATTAGGGGAGGGCCCCCAACTCTGGGGAGATGTAGTCCTCTGCCCCCCGCCAATCCCTCAATGCTCATCAGTCACAGCCTACCACAGATAGCTGCCCTCACCCCAGCATGGGGAAGGTCTGCTCCAGATGCCATGCCGGGGAGCCAGCAGTCTGTTCTTCCCGACTGCAGCAGGCCTTGCAGTGACCTAGACTCCACTTGGGTGCATGACATAATGAGGAGGGAGCCGGGCCAGAATTATGTAAAGTCTGCGGGGAGTAATAGCGGCAGCAGTTCTCAGAAAGAGAGAGAAAAAGAGAGAGAGAGAGATGGAGAGAGATGGAGAGAGAGAGACCGCCCCCCCCCACCCAGGCCAGGTTTGCTCCACAGCCTACTTCGTCCACAGCATCATGGCCCCCCTGCTCATGACCCAAGCCCCCAACATGCAACTCTCAGGAGCTTAGAAACCTCAGCTGGGCTCAGTTCCATTCTCAAGGCCTGTACCAGGTCAGGCAGGAGGAGTCTGGGAAGTTATCTGGCTCCACTCCTCATCAGACCTCCTCTCTAGGCATCCCCTCCAGACTGCACAACTCAGCAGCCTCCTCTCTCTGCCAGAGAGATCCTTTAAAAATATAAAATCAATTTTGTCTCTTTCCTGCTAAAAGCCTCCTAGGGATCTCCAACCCAAATAAAATCTAGCCTCTTCATGGGGACCCAGATGGTGCACATGCTCCAGCCCCTACTGATCCTTCCTACATCCCACCCTCACTCACAGCCCTCCAGCCAACAAGCCTCTTTGCTGTTCCTCTCTGACACACCACGCACACTCCTGCCTCAGGGCCTTTGCCCTTGCTATTCCCTCTACCCGGAGGCTGCCTTGCCTAGAGCTTCCCATAGAGGCTTCTCTTCTCTTAGGTTGCTACTCGAATGTCAACTCCTCAGAGAGGCCTTTCCTGGCTACACCGTCCAATGTCTTACCGCCCTCCCCAGTCCAGCTCTACCCACCCCTGCTCCATTTTCCTCAGAGCTCTTCTCCAGATGGTCTTAGTTGCTATCTTTTTTTTTTTTTTTTTTTTATCTGTCTCTCTCCACCAGAAGGTAAGCTCCACTACAGCAGGGCCTTATCTGTCTTATACACCACTGTGATTTCTAGAGCCTCGCCCATATCTGGCTCACAGGAAATGATCAACAAGTAAATTTTAGTAAATGCATAAATGGCTTTGTGAGGTAGATATGAGTAACACTATTTAAGGTAAGAGTTAAAGAAAACAAGATTCAGGGGGGTAAAGGGACTTGCCCAAGGGCACACAGCTGGTCAAAGCAGGGCAGATGTTAGGACCCAGTCTGACTCCACGGTCAATGCCCTTGGCCACTCCGCTCCCCACTGGCCGGTGCTACTCCTTCCACTCACTAGAACTCTGAGCTCCCACCCACCTGTCCCCAGCCTCAGGATTATTATCACATCTTCCGACTTGCCATGTGACAGAGGGGAAAACCGTTTTCCTCTCCGGGCCAGGCCCAGGTGATCTCCAAGGCCCCTTTCAGTTCTGCCCCTCTAGAAATATTATCAGTAATCTCCATTTATTTAGAGCTTATGATGTAGTGGGCACTATACGCATTCTGTCACTCATAATATCCTCATAATAATCCCACAAGGTGAGAACTGTGATTATCATCCCCATGTTACAGGTGAGAAAACTGAGTCCCCAAGTTACACGGTGATGGAGTTAAAACCCAGGCGGCCTAGCCCAGGAGTCTTGGTCTTACCTTGTCCACCACTCCCTTTACCTTCCCTCTGCCTCAGTCCCTCCCCTGGGGGAGTAAGCGAGTAAACACCGAAGGCAGGGAAGGTCTCTGCTTTGACCTCACTTTCTTGATGCAGAGGGACTATTGGTAGAGATGCCCACAGTGCCCTTTCTATAAAAAACTCGTGCTGCCTTCTTCCTTCCCTATTTTTTTAAATGCTTGAAATAACAATGATAATTTAAAGGTCCCAACAAATACTTATTTGAGCATTTACCATCTGTAGGCACAGTGCTTAGTCTGAATGTGCAGTGCCTCATTAGATGCTCACAATCCTATGAGGTAAGGACTATAACACCTATTTTATAGATGAAGAAACTGAGGCCCTGAGCAGATAAGTTACATGCCCAGAGCCACAGAGTAGGGCTGGGATTTGAACACTGGCTGAGTAACTCCAGAGCTAGTCTGAGAAAGACAGAGATTCCGAGGTAGGCAGAAGGGGACAGATATCCTGCAGGCCAGCCACGGCGGGAAAAGGGAAGTGACATTGACTGACTGAACTGATTGACTGACTCCAGTGTGACTCCCTACCTGGGCCTCCCAGCATGTGATCCAGGGCCTCCCTTTGAAGACTTTGGGTTTGAAGCATAGGCAACAACAGGGAAAGACACAGAGAGGCAGCCAAAAACCAGAGACA